CATTTATATATAGGAAATACATTTCATATCATATCTGACTTAAAGAAATTTATAAATTCTGATATATGTACGCAAACTTATACAGAAAAGCAAACAGGGAAGTGAAATTGAAATAATCTGATTTGAATAAAAAATTCTTTTTCAATCTCTCTTTCTCCATCTATCTTTCTCGTTATCTCTTGCTCTCTCTCTCTCTCTCTCTCTTACGATTGGTAATCTCTCAATCAATTGTGGTTTTATGAGCACGACGCTTCGACGTTTCCATTCATAAAACGCAGCTAAGCAGACGCATGGAGAGATACATTCAAATAGCGCATCGATAAGCAAATGCTGGCCAAAAGCGCTGATAACAACAGGTGCGCCAGGTGGAACGTGAATGAACGCAGCTAGCACAGCTTGAAATGCTGAAAGCAACTCGAACACCTACGTAAATCAATTGTCAAATCGTTTACCCGTCGATAGCGATAACACGATAACAGTAACAGCAACAGCAACAGCAACGGTACTTTGGTTATACCTGACTTGCTTTGGTTTTATAGCTGAACATTTAGACGCTGTATGCTACGCCGCATCGATACAATTTCCTGTGCACATAAATACCCCAAATATCAATTTCCAAGATTATTTTGGCATTTCGAATCGCTCTTGACGCTATTACTGACCTTCAGGCACAAAATTAGCAAATAGATAAAACACAAAAATACTTGAACAATAAAAAAAATTAGATAGATTCACGGGACTCTTTCTTTTATCGCTATAAAAATTGCATAAGTACAAAGTGAGCAATAAATGTTTTATTGTCCACAGAATGGAAAAAGGTTTATCAGAGGATTACAAATGTGTGTTTTCTTTTTTTTTTTAATGTTAAGATAAAGAACCATATTTTTATAAATGTTTATTTTCTTTGTGGTTTTTAATTTCCAGCATTTTAATTTGAATTACTTGAAAATTATTTTAAAGAAATAAAATAATAAAATAGAGTAAAAATCATATTAAATTTAAAATATTTCATGTCAATTCTTTATATTATATTTAAATATTTCTATATATAATTTTTCAGTGAGAGACAAGATAATTCACAAGATTAAAGCAAGCGGAAGAGTTCTGCTGATGCGTGATGAACAAGCCTATTTAAAATATATATATAATTTAAATATATAAGAAAAGTTATTCAATTTGTTCATGTATTCAATCCTTTGCAATTATCTCTAGAGATATAAATCACCTATAAAGTTCTTTAGTCATCCTTTAGATATTATCAACGAAAGTCTGCCCAAAGTTCGTCATTTGATAGCCTTGGGAATTGTCCAGCTCATGTTGATAATAAATAAAAAGTTTTTCGCCTACTGACAAACTCTATCTATGGCATTATCAGTAATTAGCGAACATAAAGAATCGTGTGATCCTTCTTTATTATGTATGCCAAGTGGGTGTGACTCATGCGATTGCAGGTAATGAGTCACAGTGGTTTAGGAAACCCCTTTGATATACAATTGATCATTATCGAAAAGTGTTTGAAATCAGTGTGAAAGACCCATGGGACTTGGATGATGTCGGTGACTCAAGTGCCCCACAGGGTTGAGTCATCTGGAATCTAGTTGAGATAGGATATTTTATGGGTGGTACTTAATGAGTGGGTGGGTGATTGGGTGCTTAGCTCAAAGTCCAATAAAGCTAATTATTCAATATATTTAAATAGATAAATATCTCATCATGATGAAACTGATTTCCCATACAATCTAATATTTTTGCCGAATCATGGGGCGTATGCGTAATTTTGGCGTATGAGAGTACTTGAACTTAGCTAGAATTTCGTGTTTACAAAGGGAATACATATATATATTATAAACATATACTTCTGGAAGCGTCATTTTATAACATTTCTAATGTTGTGAAATTTTTGGTTTGCTCATTCGCCTACATTATCTCATATATATATATTAAGTATACGACGCGTGTACAATAACAAAATAAATCTTTATATTTCTTTGTATATATTTAACAAAATATAACTGATATATAATAAATAAATAAAAATTTATAAGAATTCAAAGAAATTTTATCAGATTATATATACTTCTTATTGTAAATATATATTTTTTTATAAATATTCCAATAAAATAATCTACAACAAAAATTTGCATGTAAAAAAATAGTATATATTTTTGCATTTTATATTATATTTTAATTATAAAAAAATTAAATAATATTTAAATTTTTAACATTTTTTATTATTTGCTGTAAGCAAAAACTTACCATAAAATTAACAGAAAATCCACAATAAAAATTGATAAAATATTCCTTGCTTTATTGCCAAAAGGCGAATCCAAATTCTTGCTTGTTTGGAGATTATTTATTTTTTAATTATATATGCACGAGGATTGTACGGTTATTTTGCAGTTGCAATTTTTATGTGTTATTTATTTGGCTAAAAACACTTGTTGTCGCGCGAATCGACGGGCGGCAAGTGTTTCGTAGAACTTTTTCACTGTTGCGCACTCGAGGCGAGATATGAACAAAATAATCGCCGTGAAACGTCTCTCACTCTCTCTTTCTATCTCTCTCACTCACTCTGTTGCTGTTGCTTTGAAGGCATATAACAAGTCTGCACTTGTCGCTCGAGCAAATTACCAAATTTTGCTTTGAGCGTGTGTGTGTGTGTGTGTGTGAGTGTGTATGTGTGCGCGCCCGTTAGAATCAGAACTATGTTACGCGAGGCAACGACGCTGACTGAGCGAACGCAACGATCGTCGCTGTCTGATATTAAAATTGTATAAGAATTGAGCAGCAGCAGCAGCAAGCAACTGAGCTGAGCTGAGCTGAGCAGAGCAGCAGCGCCGTTGACGCAGTCAAAAGTTGACTGTTCTTAATCGTTGTGTGAGCGAGAGCGTGAGCGCGAGCGAACCAGTCGTGTGTTCGTGTGTGTGTGTGTGTGGGTGTGTGACGCTGCCTTAGCTTTGGCGACGATTTGCTGCTTGCGTCTAATTTTTTGTTATTTATTCATTATTTTTTCATATAGATTTTCAAGTTGAATTTACGTTTGTTGCTGTTGTTGTTATTGTTTCTGTTGCTGCGGCGAATTTCCGTATCAAAGGTTCACACATACAGATGCTCAAGTGTATGTGCGTGTTATTTATAATCTTTGCTGCTTTTGATTATTTGTACGTGTATTTGTAGCTGCGCAGCACTATGATTGCTGTTGTTGTTGTTGTTGCTGTTACCGCTCTGCTATTAGCGTTTTGTTGTTGCGCACATTCACACGCCACTATAAACAATATTGACCTAGGTTATATATACTATATACGCATATACACACATACATATATATACACACACGCATACTTCAGTATTTCTGATTCTTTTTCACACTCCGTAATATATTTAATCGTTTTTTGTTTTTTCTAGGTTATATTTTAAGTAATAATTTGATACACTTTTTGCATTGATTAAATTACATAGTATGTTTAATATTTATAATATATATTCGTTATCAGCCTTTAGTTAAACAAACAATTTACCGTACATAGTAAAAAACACAAATTGATTTAAGAATTGCACTTTTTGTTGTTGTTAAAGAAAACACTTTAAGATTTGCTACGCTTTAGTTTTAATTATTAAAACTAAACAATAAGGCAAAGGAGATCAAATAACGTTGATTATTATTTTATTCGTTTTCGTTTTCTTTTACTTTTTTTGTTCTGTTGAACTATTTAAACAGCAGCTTTTTTGCTTTTTGCTTAGTTAAAAGCTTTCTAATACTATTGAAAGTTCTCTAAAGAACAGAAAACGCTGCCGTTAGTCGTGTTGACGCGTCGCCAGCTCGCTGAGAAATACGAAATGGCGGCCAGCGTTCAAAATTTGCCGAGAACAACACGCTGGCAGCGCAGCGGCGTAGCGAGCAGTGCGCAGCGACGCAACTGTGACTGCGCAGTCGACGCTATTATTGAATGACAGCAGCGACTGCGACAGAGACTGCGGCAGTAGCAGCGTCAACTGAAGAATGAAAGCGCTGTGTGTGCAAGTATGAGTGAGTGTGTGTGTGTGTATCTGTGTGTGTATTTTTGTGTGTATGCGTGTGAGTTGCTGTGCCTGTGTTTGGGTGCGTAAGCCGGCATTTGAGACAGCAGCTGCTGCGACTGCTTCTAACGCATGTAGATATTGTAGATACAAAAGCTGACGCTGTTTTTTTTTTTTTTTTTTTGCAGGCGCAATGGCGTGCTGCTGCTGCTGATATTTTCGGCGATTGCCTTTGTTGCGTTGGCGTTAGCGTCGACTGCGACGCGTGGCGAAGCGTCAGCGGCGACAAACGCGCTCAACTTACTCAATAAAATTTTTATTATGATATCTACGCACACGAATATAATTCGTACGGCTGTTCAATTTGCATTGTTGCTGGAGTTGTTGTTGCTGCTGCTACCGTTGTTGTTATTGTTGATGGTGATTTGCTTTCGGTTCTTATCGCCGTTGCTTCTGCTGTTGCGGCTGTTGTTGCTGTTGTTTTTCGCTCTTCTCGTATTTGGTCAATTGTTTTTTTTTTGTTCGCCGTATTTTCGCAGCTTTTTTCTCTGCTGGTGACGTATGCGTCTGTATATACAATACCCTATATGTATGTATGTATGTATGTACAGACAGAAGGTGTGTGTGTGTGCGTGAGTGTGGAGGGTTCAATTTGTGATTTGTTAGCATGAATCGAAACATTTACGATGCTTTCGTCAACTTCGTAGATAGCAAAAGATTAAAGATCACCTGATACAAAGTGCAAGTCGCAATTAAATTGACATAGGCCATATAAAAATATGAACTTTGTAGCGTTACTTACTTGCGTTAGGCATTAAAGCGAGCGATAAACAATTCAATTTATTATTATAATACGAGAATTACCTACATACATTGTCGCATTCCCTTTGTCTATGGCAAGTAACAATACAATATCTCAAACGAGTCAATGCCCTTTCCGAAACTGTGTAGCCAATGTCTGCTGTAGCATTTCTACTCCTCCTCCTCCTCCCCCCGCCCACTACACAGCACTCTTACCTCTCTTGTACTTCTGCATGCATATCTTTCGCTCTGCCCATTCCCCACTTTTCGATTTTATTCAAGCAGTGCATTGACCCCATATTTCTTTTGTCGGGCAACATTTATAGTACAACAGCAAAATACAGAAATTCAAAAAATAAAACAACAAAAATTAAAATTATTATGCATAAATAAGAAGTTGTCCGAAATTCGGCGAAAATGTTCAAGAAATTTCAATAAATGCAGCGGCCGTGCGCAGCCAGCGACAGAGCGTTTCCGCTGCTCGCAATGCAGTCGACGCAGCTGCTACGGCTGCTGCTGCTGCTGCGGGGGGGCGTACGTTTTTTTGAACGTTGCAATAAATTCAAGCTTCATCCCTTTTTGGCAACGACCAACACCAACACAAACGGTAGCGAGCCAAAAAATATATGTATGTATGTATTTAAAAAAAAAGAGAGAGAAGAAGAAAAAAATTAAATACAACCCAAACCCAAAATGTCTGCAACGCTGTCGGTTGCAAAGGGCAATGCCAGAACAAAAGCAACAACAGCAGCGCAGTTGTAGTCGCAGCAGCAGCAGCAGCAGCAGCAGCAGCAGCAGCAGAGGCAGCAGCAGCACTCGCAGCAGATTCGCGTGGCGGACGTGCAACGGTTTTCAACAGCTGACTATGTGAGGCCGTGCCACAGTTTTCGACACGTGCTGCACATGCAGAGGGCGCAAGCAGCGCGCCGCACACTCAAGAGTTTGTTGCATGGCTGCCTCTCTCTCTCTCCCTCTCTCTGTCCCTCTCTCTTTTTCGTGCGCTGTGCTAATGTGCAATTGTGAAGGTTGTTGCCGTGCTGCATGGGACAGTTAATGCGAGTCTGCGTCTGGTCGCTTGCCAGCTGCTTGAATCATTAGACACATAGGTTGAATGGGCGGAGAAGGTGCAGCCTTAGGAGCTGCAACTTTCATTGCAATATTCATGCAGCCCTGGCTTTCCGAATAGAGCTCCCTAAATTGATAAATAAATACAGAATACTTAAATGTGATAGACAGAGAGAGAAGGCGGAGTGGGGGTTTCTTATGTTATCATTATTATTGAAATTGGTTTTTAAATTTTCATTATTGTCATTTTCTATGACCCACTTTAGCATGTTTAATATCAATTCATTAGTCTGCAAAAACTCGATCATATCAATCAATATATTTATCGTATAGGTACTACAATTTGCCAGCAAAAACAATTAGTGGTAAATTTCTTGTATGGCTTTTGCCACATTTCCGGGCGGCATTCCAAGACCTTGACAGGGACAGCACATTAATGCCAGATACCACCAGCTGATATAGTGCGGTTTCCCAGAACTCGGGGAAGGCAAATTAGAAAACAGTTGACAACGAATTGCACCATTATGAGAGTGTGAATCACAATGCATTTGGTCCCTCATGGGTCTGTTTTGACTGTCTTTGATAATGGGCTTCATAATACACCCATTTGTTGGTCAAGGCGATAACAATCAAATGATTTCTTAATTCTTAATTGGTTTTTCATATTCTAGATCCATGAATTGTGTGGGATCTCATAGCGCACTGATTTACTTTCAAAGGGGCCAAAACTTTTCAGCTAATAGCAACGCGAACATAATCTAATCTAATCTTATCAGAACAAACAGCGTCCATTATGTTATTGCATATAATGCGCCAATGACCACGTGCGAAATATCTCTCTAGAGTTTAGAAAAAAAAACAAAACAAACGGAAACAAAACTCGTGGAATTGCACAATATTTATTAAGTTCTCCAAGAGCAGCGTCGGCAAAAACAAAAACAAATAAATAAAGGGTATCTGAAGTGCGGCAGGCCTAGCTAATGGAGCAGGGACTATAACAGAACATGTTAAGAATTTAACAGAGGGAGTAAAGTAAGTTTATGCATAAATATATTTATGAAAAAAAAAAAAAAACTATTTACAGTTGAAATATTAAGAATAATATATAATAATATATAAATATATTTAAATATACATAATAATAATAATTATAAATAAATATAAAATATACATATATATATAAAACTAAATTAAAAATTTTCAATAAATATAGAATATAAATTATTTATAATAATTTTTTTTTTTAAATTAAATAAATATATATTTATGATAATAATAAAAAAAAAATAATAATATATGTATATACAGTAATATTTACAATACTTAAGCATTATATTATTACAGAGTATTAATAATTTAACGAAAAAAAATAATTCTCTACTAGCTTAGATAAAATATATGTATATGTATACATATGTATATACTGTGTATATTTATATGCCGTAAAACTACGTCGCATAATTTTAGACCAGATAAGAAATTGCTTAAGTTCTCGAAATAGATTTGCTCCATTACGTATACGTAATGTGCAACTTTGTGGCTTAGCCTTGCATAACTAACAATAACAAAATTAAAAATGAAGAAACAAAAAAATAAAATAATATAAAAATATATCAAATAAATATCAAAAATGCGTTTCTTAAAAAATATGTATTTAATAAATCATAAACAAAATTCTCGTCAAAAATTTAGACAGTCAATTTTCACCTTGTCTAAAGTGATGTAATTCCTATTTACTGTTATTGTTATTGTTTTTATAATAATTTATTTGTTTACCGAAACGTGTGGCGCGAAAAAGATAGAGCGAGACAGAGCGAGAGAGATAGAGAGAGAGTGCGAGAGAGAGGGGCGAGAAAGTAAAGGGGGGTTGCATGAGATGTGCAAATACATGAGCAAGTGACATTTTCTACCAGCGCACACATACACATACACTTATAGAAATGCATATGTATGTGTGTGTAAATATTATTTCTATAGTGCCATAGTCGCTTTCGTCGTACTCAATGTCAGTGTCAGCCATATTCATATACATACATAGACTTTTATTATTCTCATTGTTATTGTCGTATTACAGGTCTTTCGCACGCTCTGCAGCAGTTCGTGTAAACAGTTAGCTCTGTATGTATGCACACACTCACATGCACACTCCTACATACATATGTATGTATGTATGTATGTATATCTGTAGCCATATCTAATAACAAAATGTTTTTTTAGGTTTACCGAATCAAAACATTCGTAATACGGAATTGTGTAATAATTAAATTTAGCATTACAAATGATAAGGAAATTAAATAAGTAAAAACAACAAATAAATAAAAAGTAGACAAGAAGTATAATTGTATTTATAAATAAACATGATTAATAAATATGATTTCTCTATAAATTAGCAAAGGGAAATTGCAACAAATAAATGTGGCGCTTTGACTATAAGAGTATTAGTTCGATAAATATTCATGGTTTATATTATAAGAAATATTACAATTTCTTAGAGCATAGACTTTAAGAAACTACCTTGATAAATATTTAAAAATTAATTATAAATATTAATATATTTAAAAGAATTTCTATAGTTAACATTTTTGGAACACAGCAAAAAATATACGAAATCTTGTATATTTAATTAAAAATTAATAAGTAAATCGAGTCGCACTACTATTTTTAAGACCCCAGCTATACATTGTATATACACACATATATATGTATGTAATATGTCTGTGTATGTACATATTCTAAACATATATATTTATTGCCAGCATGATTTCTATATTAAATACTTTCTAGGAAATTATATATGTTTTTGTAGGTTATAAATAA